ATTACCATTGAACTCAGTATAAGCCCTGTAAGACATAAAATTGAATGAGTTTTTAACCTTTAAAAAAGATCTCTATTCCATTTTAGATATATTGTTCCTTACAGAAAGACTCATTGTTTTTGCTACCAACACTGAGATGTTGGCGCATGTGTCTCTAATCTGTATGTATCTGATTATTACTAGTCATAATCAGTTGCACTCAGATCCTTGGCACCTGTGTATGTCTAAAAAGTCATCAGGTAGAATTTAATGATAATGCTTATCTCCTCTACTAATTAACATGACATAACTTTCTATGATTCCTCCTCAAGTATAATTCATTTTTTAAAATTTGTCGATTGTGTGTGTGAGTGTGTGTGTGTGTGGGTGTGTGTGTGTGTGTGTGTGTGTGTGTGTGTGTCTGTACCACACGGAACATCCCAAACCGTCTTATTCATCTATACACCCACTTTCCAGATGGCTCCCTCCCATAGCCCCCCCCCCACTAGAGCCCTTATACTCTGTCATCCCTGCTACTGTCTGCTGTGTTGTTGGCACCCCCAGCTGTTCCCTGCTACTTGTCCATCTGGTGAATCTAGTCAGCCTATCTAGAGGTCTTTGTTTTAGGAAGGTCGGCTGTTCCTCATCTAGCAGCAATCAGTTGTTAATGTTCCGTTAGATAAGATTGGGTTCTGCTGTTCATTTTCCCAGTTCTATGCTGGGTTACTATCTGGGAATCCCTTGGGCCACCCTGGGCAACAACTCAAAAGAAGGTGTCTCCTATGTGGCATTGTTGCTTGTTTTGTAGCCTTTAGCTATGCATATGGACTCTTAAAAAATTACATTGGCCCCTTTAATCTTTGGTTATACTTTCCTTTTGGGTGTTTAAGGCCATACAGTTGGCCCAGATAAACCAATTTATTTTGATTCTGTTCCTCAGGGGTAACATGGGCTTGGGAGGAGCCCCTGGCTCCTTTCTTTTACCAGTTCCGCCTATGTGAAGATAAGTCAAAGGTCCTGCTTGACTATGGCTGGCTTTGCTTGGAAGCAAGTAGGAAATGTTCCTTTTTGTTGACCCTCCTCTTTGTAAACTGGACACTGGTTTAAGTCCATCTCATGGGATCTCCACGGCCTCCTTGATCAAGAGGACAGGTGACCCACCACAAGTACAGGACATTTTTGAGAGATGCTCATGGTCCCCTGGAACTAGTCAACTTAGGGGGGCAAGGAGCAAAACCTGTCCTTTATGTCCCTCTGACCAAATTAGTATAGGCCTCAAAGTATGTCTGTTAAACATCCAAGAAGGTTAGTTCTACCAGTCTGGTACTTTTAATTACTGTGTGCCATGTAGTTAAATCTTGGGCAAAGACCAATTGTTCTCAGATAAAACGCACCTAGACATATATTTCTTGATCTGGTGTATATGATTTGTCAGTAGGTTGTTGGACTAACATGGTTTCCTCTGGTTTTTAAAACTGGCTAGGCATTATTTATCTCTCACATTGTCTAACCCCTCCATCATGGTTTCCCCAATTAAGGTGCCCCCATTTTTCCCCTTTCTTAATAATACCCTACTCCTATAGTCCTACCTCTCTTGAGATCAATATTTCCCTTTATCCCCTAGGTCCCTTGTACACCCTTCTCTCCCCACTCCCTTAAAGTAACCCAATTTTTATTCATATCTCCCTTATCAACACGTGCTTCCTACAGTTCTTCTCTTTCAGGTTCTTCCTTTTCCTTTACCTCCCTGGTTCCTTTTCATTATCCTGGTTCCTGTAGTTATGTCTGGATACATACTCACGTATCAGGATTTGGTGCTAGGATCCACATATGAGAGAGAACATACGTTGGTTTTTTGTTGTTGTTGTTGTTTTTCTGAGTCTGTGTTACTTCACTTAGTATAACAGTTTCTAGTGCCATCCATTTACCTGCAAATTTCATGATTTCATCTTTATTTACTGCTGAGTAAAACTCCATCATATAAATGAACCATGTTACCACTCATCAGTTGAGGGACACTTAGGTTGCTCTTAGCTATGGTAAAAAGAGCAACAACAAACATGAATATACAAGTGTCTCTGCAATGGGACAAGTTCTTTGGGTATATGCCAAGGAATGGTATAACTGAGTCAAATGATAGGATCATTTGTAGTTTTTTAAGAGTCCTCCACACTGCTGTCCATAGGGGTTGAACAAGTTTGCAGCCCCACCAGCAGTGGATGAGTGTTCCCCTTTCCCCACATCCTCTCCAACATTTGGTATCATTTGTTCTCTTGATCTTAGCCAGTATGACTGGGGTAGGATGAAATCTTAAAGTGATTTTAATTTTCATTTCCCTATGTACTAGTGATGTTGAACATGTTTTAAGATGCTTCTTAGCCATCTTTACTTCTTTAAGAACTCTCTGTTCAGCTCCTTAGCCCATCTTTTAATTGGGTTACTTCCTTTCTTGATTCTGTGTTTTTTGAGTTTGTTATATATTCTGGATGTTAAACCTCTGTCAGATGTGTCACTGGTGAAGATTTTCTCCCATTCTGTGGGTTTCTCTTCACTTCCTTGGTTGCCTCCTTTGGTGAATAGAAGCTTTTTAGTTTAGTGAGGCCCCATTTGTTGATTCTTGACCTTGTTTCCTGAGCAATTGATGTCCAGTTTAGAAAATCCTTTCCTACACCTATATCTTGTAGGTTTTTGCCAATGTTTTCTTCTAATACTTTCAGAGTTTCAGGCTTTACATTGAGGTCTTTGATCCATTTGGAGTTGACTCTTGTGCAAGGTGAAAGTTAGGGGTTAAGTTTCATTCTTCTACAGATGGAGATCCAGTTTTGCCAGCACCATTTGCTGAACATGCTGTGTTTCTTCCAGTAAATGTTCTTGGCCCCTTTGTCAAATATCAGGTGGCTGAAATTGCATGTACTCATATTTGGGTCTTCAATTTTGTTCCATTGATCTATGGGTCTATTTTTGTGCCAGTACCATGTTGTTTTTATGACTATAGCTCTGTAATAAAGTTTAAAATATGGTATAATGATTTCCCCCCAGCATTGCTCTTAGTGCTCAGGGTTGCTTTGGCTATCCAAGGTCTTTTGTGCTTCCATATTAATCTTAGGATTTTTTTTTCCAATTCTGTGAAAAATGTCATGGGGATTTTGATTGGCATTGCACTGAATCTATACATTTCTTTTGGTAGGATGGTCATTTTCACAATATAAATTCTTCCAATCCATGAGCATGGGAGGTCTTTCCATCTTCTGATGTCTTCCTCAATCTCTTTTTTTAAGGATTTAAAATTTTCATTGTAGAGATCTTTATCTTTAATGTCTTTGGTCAGGTTTATTCCAAGATATTTTTTTGTAGCTATTGTGAAGGGGCATGTTTCCATGTGCTCTTTCTCTATTGCTTGTTATTGGTATATAGAAAGGCTACAGACTTTTGTAGGTTAATTTTGTAACCTGCCACTTTACTGAACGTGTTAGTAACTTCTAGGAGTTTTCTGGTGGAATTTTTGGCATCTCTTAGATATAAAATCATATCATCTGCAAAAAGGGATAGCTTGATCTCTTCTTTTACAATTATTACTCCATTAATTTCCTGCTCTTGTCTTATTTCTCTTGGAAGAGTTTCAAGCACCATGTTAAAGAGGAGTGGAGATAGTGCACAGCCTTGTCTGGTTCCTGATTTCAATGGGAATGCTTCTTCCAGTTTTTCTCCATTTAGAATGATGTTGGCTGTGGGTTTGTTATATAGGCCTTTAATTATGTTGAGGTATGTTTCTTCCAGTCCAATTCCCTCTAGGACTTTGAACATAAATGCATGTTCAATTTTGTCAAAGGCCTTCTCTGCATCTATTGAGATGACCATTGGTTCTTGTCTTTGAGCCCATTTATATGATTTCTGATGTTTATTGACTTATGTATATTTAACCATCCCTGCATCTCTGGGATAAAGCCTAGTTGATCATGCTAGATGATCTTTTTGATGTGTATCTGATGCGGTTTGCAAGTATCTGGTTGAGAATTTTTCCATGTATGTTCATTAAGGATATGGGTCTATAGTTTTCTTTTTTGATTGTATCTTTACCTGGCTTTGATATTAGATTGA